CTAAAGAAAAAAATCATTCCTTCAATACTACATCAAATATTTAGGCATTTTCCAGAAGGGTAGTTGAAAGAAATAGCAACTCAAGGCCCATGAACTTCATATTTCAAATATACAGGCAAAGACTTGAGAATGCAACCTTGCGTATGACTTGTGCAATATTTATAGACAGCAAGGCATTACACTGAGCAATGCACAGGGTAACTATCAGCTTTCTTTCCTCCCCTGAACAAACAGTTATTTCTATTATTTCCAGATGGTTCTACCATCACTATATAAACACAAGGGAGGACAATGCACCAGAAATGATGCTAAAAATAGGAAGTCTGGACTTTGCTCAAAATTTTCTCACCTCTTGGAAAACTGAGGGCAGTGAAGCATTTCAAACAAGCAGCTCTCACACCACATTCCTTTCAGAGCTGCAGACTCGCACTTGCTGCATTGACAGAAGTATCGCGCGCACACACAGGTTATACTAAGAGCAGGTTCAGCCAGTAGTAACAAATGTTTGCAGGGCTGATATACAGAATGTAACAAGACTCCTTCCTTCCCTCCCTCCCTCCCTCTTTAAGACATGGTTCTCAAACTGTGGGTAGAAATCCCTTGGGGGTGGTCAAACAATCTCTTCCACTGGGGTTGCTTAAGACCATTGGAAAACACAGATATTCACATTACAATTTATAACAGCAGCAAAATCACAGTTATGAAGTAGCAAGGAAACTAATTTTATGGTTGGGATAACCACAATATAAAGAACTGTATTAAAAGGTTGCAGCATTAGGAAGGTTGAAAAACACTGCTTTAAGAGAATGACACTCTAACAGTGCTCACTAAGTTTCTTCAAATTTATAAAACTGTACCTTTGAGAAATTAATTTTTTTAAGTTTATTACTGTGTGTTTTTCTTTCTTCTTCTCTCTCTCTCTCTCCTCTCTCTCTCTCTTAAATGTGTCTCTGCTTGCTTGGTCTCCTTAGAGTTGCCAAGTGGGTGCTGGGAATAGAACCTAGGTCCTCTACAAGAGCTCTTAACCACTGAGCCAATTTTCTAGCCTGATTTTTTTTTTTTTTTTTTTTAAGCAAATAGCAGGGCACTGGTGGCACACACCTTTAATCCCAGCACTCAGGAGGCAGAGGCAGGTGGATCTCTGTGAATTTGAGACCAGCCTGGTCTACAGAGTGAATTCCAGGACAGTCACACAGAAAAACCCTGCTTCAAAATACCAAAAACAAACAAACAAAAGAAATAAAGAAAGAAAAAGAAAAAAGCACACCAAGAACACAGGCAAAAAAAAAAAAAAAAAAAAAAAAAAAGCAAGCAATGGAATTGTTTTAAACTAAAGAAAGCTTGTGTGCAGCAAAGGGAATAACCCACAAAACAAAAAGGCAGCCTATGAATCAGAATATTGGGAACTATATAGCTCACTAAGGATACATTTGGTTGGTGGAGCACTTACTAGCTAGTCACTCCTGGGGTCAGGCTCCAGTACCTCCTAACCAGGCGTGGGGGAATAAGTGTACTCATGGCACTCAGAAGTGCTGGCAGGAGGGCCAGAAATTTAAGATCAAATTCACTTCCATGGAGAGTTTGAGGCTATCCTGGGATACCCAAGACCCTGTCTAAAATAAGAAAGGGGGAGAGAGAGGGAGGGAGAGAGAGAGAGAGACCCAGGCAAAGAGCCACTGAGACACATAGGAAAAGGTATCTGCCACCAAGCCTGAGGATTTGAGTTTGACCCAAGGAACTCATGTATGGAAGAAGAGAACTGACTCCCAAAGTTTTCCTCTGGCCTCCATTTGCATGCTGTGACTCACACTCCCCCAAAATAAAATAAATGTAAGTTTTCAAACCAGGTAAAGGATCTAAATAGGCATTTTTTTCAAGGCAGACATAAAAAAATATCAACAGGGCATATGAAGAAATGTCCAACACCTCCAAAGGTGTGCAAATCAAAACCCCAAAAGGAAGCCAGGTATGGTGGTGCATACCTTTAATCTCGGCACTTGGGAAGCACAAGCAAGCAAATCTCTGTGTGAGTGTGAGAGGTCAGCCTGGTCTACAAAGTGAGGTCCTGGCTAGACTATAGAACTCAGAGATCTCTGCCTGCCTCTGCCTCCCAAGTGCTGGGACTGAAAGTGTGCGCCACCAACACCTGGCTCTGGCTAAACTATAGAGAGAGAGGCCCTGTCTCAAAAAAAAAAAATCAGTGAGGGGGCTGGGAAGACAGCTCAATGGTTGAGAGTACTTGCTGTGCTCAGTCATGAGATGGAGTTCATATCCCAGCACCCATGCTGGGTGGTTCACAAGCACCATTAATTCCAGTTCCAAGGGATCCAACAAGTACACTCATACAGACATATACACATATAAATAAATAAATTTAAGAAAATCAAACCTCATTGAGATAAAGTCTCACTTGTAGTGAATTCCTGACCTTCCCATGTTTGCCTCCAAACCTGGTATTACTGGTTACCAGGATGACTAATCTCAAACGGAGAAACGGTGAGTATTGGTGAGGGTGTGGGATGAGAACACTTGGATACCACTGGCAGAGATGATAAGTGAGTGGTGAGGCTATTATGGAAAATGATATGAAGTCCTCAAAAACTCCCAATGAATCTACACAGGGTATATACCCAAAGGAGATGAAATCTGCACTCTTTACAGATAGCTGCCCTGCCCTACTCATAGCATTAAGTTTGCAACAGCCAAGATACAGAAACAAACAGTCTTTTGATGGACAAACACGGGTTAAAGAACCACAGTGCATATATGCAGTGGGATTTTATCCAGCTTTTAAAAAGAAGATGCTGACATCTGCAACAATATAGATAAACCTGGAGGACTTAAAGTAAATGAAATAAGCCAGACACTGAAAGATAAATATGCTGTGATCTCTCTTAGGGGCAGACTCTTAAAAATCTAAAGTCTAATACAGCTGCTCTCCATGTCTATTGGCCTGTACTGCCATATTAATCTAACTCTGGATCAGAAAATTGGGGGTGGGGGGGAGGCTGATAGGGCTAGGGCTATAGCTCTGTGGAAGAGCATGTGCTTAGTATCCACAGGGCCTAGGCTGCAGAAGGCACATAGTACATGTATGCTAGGTAGATGACAGAAAGAATAAAAGAACAGCAGCAGATCACTCTGAGTCACCCCCAGGCTAGAGCAGGTTGTGCCACATTTCTGCTCCTCCCTACCAACTGAGAGCAGATCTGTCTTCTCCACCTAGGGATTCTTCTTTTCTAAGCTCATGAGGTCTTGCTTGTGGACATTCTTGGCTGTTCACATTCCCAGATATGGCAACTAGCCACCTCTAAGTGTAAAAGGGTTAGGAAGGGGAAGGGTGGTGACTTCCCCAGCACTTTGCCAAAACTATTCCGACATTCCTTAACAATCCCTGGACATCTCCACTGCACGAAGTTATACCTAGCACTTGTAGCAACCTCCCCTTCCTGCCTCATATTCCTAGAAATTATGAAAAGATTTGTATAGAAGTCAAAAGACAAGCAAGAGAGGTTGATAGACTAAATAGTCTGGGTTTCCTGATAGAACAAGACTAAAGAAGAAAATCAAAGTCTAAGAGTGTGTCTCAAAAATGAAAAGACACAGCGGCTGGAGAGATGGCTTGGCAATTAAGAGCACTTTGTTGCTCTTGCAGAGGATCTGGGTTCAGTTCCCAACACCCAGATGGTGGCTCACAACTACCTACAACTAATTCCAGGGAATTCAAAGCCCTCTTCTGACCAACACAGGTACCAGGCACACACATGGTGCACACACATAGATGAAGGCAAAATACACACATAAAATGAATAAATAAATAAATAAATAAATCTAAAACCAAAGAAAATATAAAGACAAGAAGTGGCAGATACCAGGAACAGTAGAGAGTTCTGAAGGCAACCTCTAGAAGTATCTATGTGGCTCAAATCACAGTAATGTGGATGCCAGAAACCATGTCTGCATCCTTATTCTAAATGCTCAGTCAGATTTGGTCCCTTGAGTCTGTGAGCTTCAGCAGTGGCCCAATGGCTAAAATATTTAAGAAGATCAGGCCTTTGGCCTCTGGCCTACCATCTGCCTGATCCTGAAGGTCTGGCCCCAGTAACCTTAGAAGAGTTACGTTCCCTTAAGCAGAGCACCCCTCCTCTCCCTAATAGCAGATGGCAGTGATTTCTGATCAGAGTAATAAGAACATTAAAAAAAAAAAAAAAAAAACAAGCAGTGGTGGGTGGCACACACCTTTAACCCCAGCAGTCAGGATGCAGAGGCAGGCAGATCTCCGAATTTGAGGCCAGCATGGTCTAAAAAGAGAGTTCTAGGACAGTGAGGACTATTACACAGAGAAGCCTCGTCTCAAAAAAACAACCAACCAACAAACAAATAAACAAGCAAGACTGTAAAATCCCACCAAAAATACAAGCTTTCATCTGAGTTCAGCTGAGAGTCACTAAACATCTGGAGAGTGCTACTACCAAGGCAGTCAACAAACTGAAGACCTTACACACAGGATAGACAGACACACAGCAACTCAGAGCCTACAGAGACTTAGAGTTGTGAATCTCTGAGAGATCTCAGAGGATATTATTATGCCCCTGAGGAAAGAATCATCTAGATATGCCGAAATTAAAAAGTGTATTGTTAAATAAAACATTTAACAGAATGGGCACCAGTGAAGAACAAGGTAAAACAGGAAGACAGAGCCAATGATTAAGATAGCATCCACAAAGGACGAGGTAGAGAATTAGAAAGACGCACTGTGTGACAGATTTCAAGTTACAACAGTCATGTAGTAGAAGTTCTACAAAGAGAGAACATAGGAAACAAATCACAAAGATTACTCCAAGAAAGAAATAAGACAATGTATTAGAACTTAAGAAATCTGAGTTAGGCATGGTGGTGCACACCTTTAACCCCAGCACTCAGGAGGCAGAGGCACACAGATTTGTGAGTTCGAGTCCAGCTTGGTCTACAGAGCGAGTTGCAGAGTGAGGACATCTTACCTTTCAGAAAGCTGCCGGATCTGTGGGATTCCCATGTACTTGTGAAAGTGCTCCAGAACATTCATTACACCCTGAAGGAGGTTAGCAACTTCTCCGTACTGTCTGCGCCTGGTCATGGCTCTGCAAGGACAGAAATTGAGAACTAGAAACCAAACACTAAAGACACAGATAGACATGTGGGATGACTTGGATAGCTCTGAAACAGTAAGCAGCTATATTTAATAAAACTTCCCAGAAGTGCTGACTATGTATGGTGCTGAGCACGGGAAAGGAAAAACATAAGGGTTTATCTTCAACTCTACAGGTGACATTGTTCAGTAAGGGAGAGTCAGTAAGTGTTTACTTAATAGCAAGGAGGGTAAACTAAGTTCGAAACAGCAATGTAAGTTATATGCCACGGGGTACAAAAGAAGGTGCATGCTGGATGCTCGTCAGATGGCAGGAGGGACTATGGGCAGACTAAGGTTTTGGGTTGGCATTGCACAAGGAGCACGATTTTAAGGGACTGTTGCATAAAATGTCACTGAGGATTGTAGCGCACAAGAGAACCAAACCATTTTTCTATAATACAAAAGGGATGACTGTTTGTGATTTCAAGTTAGCTGCAATCTGCAGTTTTAAGCCAATGATAAACAACTGTATCAGAGATGTCAACCTGCCCCACTGCTAAGGGTAGCACGAAGCTTAAGTAAAAGATGCTGATAAAACCAACAGTTATACGTGGCAACAAAGGACAAACTATTAGGTCTAAAGTTTTCACTGAGGTTGGCTTTCACGTTAAATGTAATTCCATTACAAGACAGTTCAAGGAAAGGCTCAAGTTTAAGCCACGGTGCTCCACTGCCACCTCTACCTGCTACTACAAAATGCCTGGTGGGAAGGGAGAAGGGGGACGGTTCTTCTAGACGCACTGGCTGGCTGTCCTGGGTGACCGATCACTCCCGCAAGGGGCCAGGGAGCCTCTGTTACCCATGGTAGACCCAGCACAGGCTAGGAATGATATGGCCCCTCCTCCTTCCTTCTGGGAATCCTCCATTCCTGCCACATCTGCACTTCTGTGAAGGCTGATCTGTCCACATGTGAAATTCCACTATGACTAGGGTGGGGGAATCAGCCTGAAACTCCCCACAGACAGGAGCTGGAGCACTAGAGAAGGAGGCTTTGAATCACTGCTTCACAGTAAACAACCAGAAACTTCTCTTAATACTGTTTCTAAATGTGCTAAACAGAAAGCCACAATCTTGAAAACATGGGTTTTAGAAAAAAGTGGGCTGAATGATACATCAAAGATTTGTTTACAAATGGTCTCTTTGGTGAGGTGCAACTCAGCCTAAGAGAAGGAGGAAAGGCTGCCAAGGCAGAGGCCCTAGGGAGTGACTGAGTTGAATCACTGTCTGACTTAACTGGTCTAGATCTATCACACCAAATGACCCGTTTCTCAGGGTCATTTTCATGGGCTTTCTGTCACCTCCTCAGGCCACCTGTCCACCATTTTATTATTATTATTAAGGCAGATGTTTGTTGTTGTTGTTGTTTTTGCAATGCTGGGAATGGAACCCAGGGCTTTGGGAACATGGAGTAGGTACTCTTCCACTGAGCTACATCCCCAGCTCTTTTGTTAAGTTGTGAACACCAAAAGTGACTGAACACTTGAGATCAATGTTCCAAAAGTGGGGCAGGATGGTGAGGCTGGCTTGGCTGGGAAGTGAACAAATCCATGAAGTCACTGTCCTTCTGTGGAGCATTCCCATGGGCTCCCTGGGAAAGTTCATGCTGCTTACTTACTCCAGGGAGTCGACCCCACCAGCCAGCATGTGCAAGTGGTTCAGTGTCGTGATTGAGGTGGTCAGGTGGCGCTTGGCATGGTCTAACTGCTTAATATCTCGTGTGATCTCCTTCACCTAAACATTGAAAACAACAGGAAAAAGGGGAGGAGGGTAAGAAAGCTGTAAACCCACCTTCAAGTCACTCTACAAGAAAATCATACACGTAAAATCAAAACAACCTCAGGTTAGTCTCTAGGAAAAAAATGAAACTATTCTCACAATATAAAACTAAAATAATTTGCAATGATTAGTTCCTCTTATGTTCTGTTTGCTTCTTTCTCTTTTTTAAAGATATGTTTTTGGGCTGGGTATGGTGATACATGCACATCTTTAATCCCAGTTACTAACAAGGCAGACATAAGCAGATCTCTGTGAGTTCTAGGCCAGCATGTTCTACATAATGAGTTTCAGAAAAATCAGGGCTAGGTACAGAGACCCTGTCTTTAAGGAGAAAAAAAAGCAAAAGAGAAAAAGTTTATTTTTCTTGTTTTATATACATGTGTGCATACTGGAGCCCACAGAGGCCAGAAGAGGGCACTGGGTCCCTGGAGCTGGAGTTAAGATGGTTGTGAGCAGCCTGATGTAGATGCTGGGAACCAAACTAGGTCCTTTGCAAGAGCAGCAAGTGTTCTTACTGTTGAGCCATGTCTTCAGTCCTCAGCTTCTTTCTTTTTATTGATACAAGGTCTTGCTATGTAGCTTTGGCTGTCCTTGAGCCTGCTATGTAAACCAGACTGGCCCTAAAGATTTGTGGCAATCAGGGCCTGGAGAGATGGCTCAGTTGTTAAGAGCACTAACTATTCTTCCAGAGGTCCCAAGTTCAATTCCCAGCTCCCACATGATGGTTCACAACCATCTATAATGAGATTTGGTGCCCTCTTCTGGACTGTAGGTATACTCGCAGGAAGAACACTGTATAAATAATAAATAAATCTTTAAAAAAAAAAATTGTAGCAATCTTCCTGCCTCTGCTTCCCAAGCCCTGGAATTATAGGCATGTACCACTGTACCCAGCTCTGTCCCTTTGGTCTAGATCTACCACATGTAAATGACCCCATTCTTAAAATCATTCTTTTAGGCTGGGTGTGGTGGCACATGCCTATAATCCTACCTACCATTGGAGAGGCTGAGCCATGGAGATCACAAGTTCATAGACAGCCTGGCTACACATTGAGTTTAAGGCCAGTATGGATTACCTAGCAAAACCTGTCTCAAATGTTTTTTGATTTTTGTTTTTAAATTTGGCATCTCATCACATTTCATACCTAGGGTCATAAAAGCCCCCAGAGAAAGAAATCTACTTTATTTTTCGCTCTTGATGGAATATAGCATTGAGCATAGGGTAGAGAAGTCAAGTCTAGCACATCCCTCTACAGTAAATGTGCCTTCTGCCACTACAGGTGCTAGACTCGGCTTGTTGCATTGAGGCAGCCTTTATTAATGAAGCTGTAGTTTATTCTTGATCTCAAGACTAAATAAATAAATAACAGATTGGCTCATGTTTTTTTTTTTTTTTAAAGATAAAAATCCAGTGCTTTTGGCAAACTTAACACATAACCTCCTAAGAGGAGGGCAATCTGGGAAGCAAAAGCTGCCAGCTGTTCAGGCACAGGTGAGAGAACAGAGCATGCTATGGGAACACTATGTCTTCCAGTCACTCCCAGTCTCCATTTCACTAACATACAGGTGAAGTCTTTCACTAGACTGAGTCTACAGTGACCCAGAAACACTCGTGTGTGTGCGTGTGTGTGTGTGTGTGTGTGTGTGTGTGTGTATACACATTTCACAGTGTGTGTATATAAAAGCAAAAAATGACCTGTGGAATTGGTTATCATTTTCCATCTTGTGAATCCTGGGGATCAAACTCAGGCCCTTAGACTTGGTAGCAAGCATCTTTACTTACTGAGTCATCTTGCCAGCCCAAGGCACACCTTCTTAATAGCAATTTGGTTTACTTTCCAAGCTTTCTGACGCCTGGAAAGAAAGGAGTTCCATGCATGCCAAGGACAAATAGTCTAACCATTAGATACATACATGCCTCAGTGAGATGAAGACTCCTACAATGCGTTAAGCTCACGTGATCTGATTGTTACTTTAACCACTCTAGATGAACTGGTAAAGACAATTCTGTTGCATAGCCACAAGCCTTTACCGCACAAACCTCTGAGCTCTCTCACTGCCACCACCACAGGAAAAAGAAATTGATGTGGTCAAAAGAAGATGTGGAAAGACATAATACATCAGAAACGCATCTGGCCCTGTAATCTGATCATACACTTCTAATACTGAGGTTATCGTCTCTCGAAAGCAATCTGTATCTTTTTTTGAGAGAGACAAAGCTTCAGCATGCAGCCAAGGCCTTTAAATCTCTTGTTAAAATTTTTCTATTTATTTTTATTTCATGCACATTCAGTTTTTGCCTGCATGTATGTCTGTGTGAAGATGTCAGATTCACTGAAATGGGAGTTACAGGCAATTATGAGCTGCCATGTGGGTACTGGGAATTGAACCCAGGTCCTATGGAAGAGCAGCTGGTGCTCTTAACTGCTGAGCCGTCTCTCCAACCCAACCTTTAATTCTTTATTATCCTGCTCATCCTCCCCAGTGCTAAGCTTACAGTTGCATATACCCTACTAGCTCTGGTCTGGGAGGCTTTAGCAACCATTTTGTCTGTCTTATGTATATCTGGCCTGCATGTATGTCTGGGTAGCACCTGTATGCCTACAAGGGATATGAGATTCCCTGTAACTGGAGTTACAGATGGTTGTGAGCTGCCATATGGGTGTTAAGAATCACACTGGGGTGGGACAGCGGTAGTGCACGCCTTTAATCCCAGCACTCAGGAGGCAGAGGCAGGCGGATCTCTGAGTTTGAGGCCAGCCTGGTCTGCAGGGTGAGTTCCAAGATAGCCAGGTCTACTTAGAGAAACCTGTTTCAAATAACAAAAAAAAAAAAAAAAAAAGACTCAAATTGGAGTCCTAGGGCTCTCTGAAAGAACAACCAGCTCTAGAATGCTGAGCCACCTCTCTAAACCAACCACTGGTTTTAAACTACTCATCTATGCCTCTTCTCATCCCTGTATTCAACAGCCAACAAATCCTCCACCTCTGACTCTGACTCTATCCTTTCTCATGTCTCTGTGCCATAGCTTACTGGTCTTTTCATTCCCAGGATCTTGTATCGCATATCTTGTGTTGCTTTAGGCAAGCTGAACTACCTACAATTCCCTAAACAGAACCTTTTTTTAAAAAAATTATTTATTTCTTTTTATTATATGTGCATTGGTGTTTTGTCTCCATGTGTGTCTGTGAGAAGGTGTCAAGATCTTGGACCTTGTGAGCTGCCATGTGGGTACTGGTAATTGAACTCAGGACCTCTGGAAGAACAGCCAGTGCTCTTAACCACTGAGCCATCTTTCCAGCCCTCTAAACAGAGCCTTTAATGGCAAGGCATGTAAGGAATGCTCAGGGCAAATGTATAAAAGGCTACTCTGCCAAACAGATTGCTGAAATTAATTGCAAAGGTCATTCATGGGCATCCAAAAAGGACAGAGAAAAATATGATGGGTTCAACTTCAGACAAATATAGGGCTGAATCTCAGCTCAGCCACTTACACACTCTGTTTCTCAGGCTAATTTTCTTGCTAAGTTTCCTCATCTACAAAATAATTAATCAAAATAAATAAATAAATAATAACAGCAATGACACTAAATCTCACTGCAAGGTTTTCAGGGGGCTATGTCAAATCACTTTATAAAGGAATTGGCATTGTGCTTGGCATCTTGAGAGATTTTGGCAAATATTAGTTCCCTTATCATTGTGTCCCACATGGCTGGAAGAGAGTTCATAGTCCAGAACAGCAGCTTAGAATCATGACATTACTGCTGAGCATAAAACCTGAATATAACAGCTGAGTGTTTGCGAGGCAGAGGCAAGTGGATCTTTGTGAGTTCGAGGCCAGCCTGATCTATAGTGTTTCAAGCCAGAGCTACATAGTAAAACCCTGTCTCAAAACAAACAAAGTTAAGTACAACAAACTCTAGCAAATGTCATCTTTGCTAGTGTCACTTGATAATCACACTGCTTGATGGTGTGTGGTGTACTCTGCTCAGAGATCCTGTGAGATGGACATTATTTCATAGTTGAGGAAACTGTCATTTAGATGCATCACATGACTCAGGATTTGGGCAGCAGCTGTGGTGAAGGCTGGGTTCCTGGTCAGCAGGACGCCTTCTGAGCTCATCACCTACAAATTTGGAGAGTGGGAACTAATTCAAACTGTGTGCATGCATCCTGGACGTGGTAGCGCCACCCTAGACACAGACCAGTGTTAGTGAGCTACTTACCAGATTACATCTAGCTTGGGAAACACAAGCTAGAAACATGCTAGAGAAAGGCATCCAAAATGGCTAGGAAACTATCTGTGGCGGGTTGGGGTGGTGGTGGATATTTTCCTATTTGAAAGCAGCTGTAAATGTAGGGCAGCAAGGCCCATGAGTCACCTTTGACTAGCAGCTCCTCTGAGGCAGTCGGGGATACACTCACAGAGAGGACCACATGACTGTGACTGGCAGGCAGGGGGAGGAAGAGCCTGGTAATCACTGTGGCTGGATGAGAAGCTAACTTCCTGCTCTGGTGCAAACATGTAAGGAAGAAACCTAAACTCACCATTTGTTCTGACTTTTCTGCTTTGTCTTTGATATCCTTGATCTTGCCAAAGAGCTGTTGTATGGCTTTCTGGGCCTCTTCGAGTGCCTAGAATAAGAGAAGTAGGGAAATCAATTCCAGTCTCCTAAAAATTTTGATCAGAAATTCTCTTGATTCATTGTTCTTACACTGACCGTTTCACTGCATCAGAACAGGAGAGTGTGATAAAGCTCATACATGAGCACAAGCCATTTCTAAGAACTTTTGGTAATCTACATTATAAAATTTAAATTCAGTTTTTGGTTTTCTGAGGCGGAGCCTTATTATGTAGCCATGGTTGGACTGGAACTCTCTGTAGATCAAGCTGACCTCAAACTTGCAAATGCTGGGATTATAAGCATGCACTACCACTCTGGGCATAAAACTTCAATTTAAAACTAAACTATTTCCTCTATTTAGTGATTACTGTACATGCTACTGATAAAAGGACACACATCTGTCTCTCAGCGTATACATGAACCATTGAAGCTAGTAGTGACGCAAATGTTTCTAAGGAAACAACCCCACAAAGATGGATGGGACACACGAAAAACAGCTCTCACACATCACCTGCAGTAGGAGGGGAGGTGGAGAGCTACACACGTGGAGGGCTCATGGACTCTGGCTTGTAACATCCCACAGCTGTTCAGTCACGACAGTGAGAATGTCTTTTAGTCACTCAAGTACATTCTGATTAGGTGCCTGTATGAGGGCAGGCAAGGCAAGGGAAGAGAGGACTGGGCCCTGGGATATTCCAGCTGTCTGGATATTCCAGTATCAAACTTTCAAGAAAGAAACCACCATCAGCAGATAAACCAAGGACTATGATGTCACCAAAACCAAACAAGTGTGTGAAGGTGAAAAAGAGCATTCATTCTTTACAATGGATTAAGACAGAGGACTGCTATCCACGGAAGATGCTAGAAACTGTGACAAAAGCAGACTACAGGGAGATAGATAGGGAGAGGGGAACAGACAGTGATGACATGGTGAGCAGAGTGATACAAAGCTGGGCTGGCAAACAACGGCCCAAATTTGTCTGCCATTTGTATAGGTAAATAATGAGGTTTGGGAACACAGCCTAACTTGCCCATTTTCATCATACAGTGCCAGCAAGGGATAGCTGCAACATCACATAGCCCACAAAGACGAAAATACTTCTTACATCTGGCCCTGAGCAGGAAAAGCTGATTGAGCTAGACATGGTGGCATATGCCTATGATCTCAGTACTTGGGAGTCAGAGGCAGGAGGATTGCCATGAGTTGGAAGGGAGCCTGAGCTACTTAGGGAAACCTTTTAAAAGAAAGAATGAGAGGGGTGGGGAGAGAAAGGAAGGGAGGGAGGGAGGGAGGGAGGAAGGAACGAACGAACCAACAAATGAACCAACAAACGAATGAAGGAAAAAGTTTGTTAGATTCCAGCAGACTGTCTTTGATACATTTTTTTTTTTTTTTTTTTTTTTTTTTTTTTGCTATGACTGATGAGGTGTGGAAAAACAGCAGCAAATAAGTGGAGGAATTCTTGAAGTGAGAGGTGTTTGCACACACTGCTATGCAAACAGTTCAGGAGGCAAGGAACTGGTTGTGGAGTTCTGGGGTAATTGTAGAAGAGGATTGTTTTTATAACTTTTTGTTCATTTTTGGTTTTGTTTGTTTGTTTGTTTTTCAGTGCTCAGAATAGAACTCAGGACCTCTAAAAAGTTCTTGACTTACTTTGGAAATGCTAGCTGTTTATCAGGTGTATATACCCAAGGACATGAATACTCAAGGCAATTGATTATCCATTTGGGGTTAACTAGCCCCACTAAGTGATGACTGCATCATGTAACAATAATAGAGTTATCCTTGTTATTATTATTTTAGGTTGGCTTGCATTATTTTCTTTTGTTGGGACATGACCTCATGGGGCCCAGGCATCCCTAGAACTCACTATATATCCTAGGAGGACCTTGAACTTCTAATTCTTCTGCATCTAGTGCCAGGATAACAGACATGTAATTACTACCAAGTGGTAATACGCAGTTCTAGGGATCAAACCCAGGGCCTCCAGCATGCCAGCAACCACTCTACCAACTAAGCCATTTCCCCAGCCCCTACTCTGGATTTTTAAGATACAGAACCATTATGCAGTTTAGATTGGCCTTAAATTATGATTCTGCCTCTGTCCCCAAGCACAAGGATTATAGTGTGGGTCAATATAGTTATGGATAGCTCCCTCTCACTCTCAAAAGTGGCCCTGGTGGGTCTGGCGAGGTATCTCGGCAGTTGAGCCCTGGATGCTCTTGCAGAAGACACAGGTTCAATTCCCAGCACTAGCATGGCAAGTCACAACTATCTGTAACTCTAGTTCCAGGTTATAGATAAAATACCTCCACCACCACCCCCACATACACACACAATAAAATAAGACCGGTTCTGGTGATAAGGTATATGATGGTCACTTTACCAAGAGCATCTAGCTAAAGCTATAGCATAGCTAAAATTCAACAAATCTTTGCCAAATAATTAAGACTGTGAGCATCGAGTGGCAGGGCTAAGACTATTCTGTGCCAGGGACAGTGGTCTACCATCACCCTAATTCAGGTACAGCTACAAGCAGTGGTTCACAGTCAGTCACAGCATCATTCTTTAGACTAACAGCATCTACCTGGGCCACATCAAGGTACACTCTAAACTCACTGGAAGCTTCTAAACACACTTTTGAGTCATGATGTCAGAATACCTACCATAGAGGGATTGCCGGCAACAGCATGTCAAAAAGGACTTTCCTTCTTGGGCATGTCTTGTGATGTTTAAGGCATGCCATGTTATAGTGATGGAATTACAGACAGACACCTTAACAGCAAAGGCACCAAGGAGCTCCTGTCCTGCGTCCTCTCCAGACTACTTCCACCGAGGCATCGCTTTCCTTTTCCAGAAAACAAGACTCACACAATCTTATATTTCATAGACTTCAGGAATGATAAATGGTCTGCCAGATATTTTTTCAGCCTTTGCTTGTTATACTAATCTACGGAAGCTCATGCAAGTTAATGTAATTCATTTTCCAGAGTCAAAATGTTTCCTCTGAAGCATTCACTCTACAGAGTAAGTGCCTTCTCAACTAGTCCTAGTGTTTGCTGATCTGGCCTCCAATAGTCAACTGCACCACAGAAGATTTCACACCTGGGAAAAGTGCAGGGCCCATGGAAGGAGAAGGTTCTTCTGAAAAAACAACCAAAACCGAAAACACTAGCACACACATCTGACACAGGTAATCAGAAAATGCTCTGGAAGATTCTAGCTCCATTCCTAGACACCATTTAAATATGGCACTTTCCTACTTCAAACTGGATCTAGATTAAAAACAGAATGAATCACCCAAAACGTCTGCTTTGCATCACCCTGCACTTCTCCTCTGCCTGGTGTCTCTGAGTGGAGGACCACAGTGTGATGGCAGTCTGAGCCCGGGGTATTGCTGGACAGCAGTTTCTATTGTGACCCTCTTTGGCAACTGTACCCAGAAACACCAAGTGACCCACTGAGCTTGCTTCCAAGACTCAGCAAAAGCCATTACAGCATCCTTGCGCTTCTGTGCACCACACACTACAGCCGTGACTTTCAAGTGTCCCGCCTCCTGAGATGCACTCTGAGCAGAACCCTGGCCATAACAGCTCACTGGTACAGGAGAAGCAGCAGGAACCTGGCACTGATGTTCCTGCTGCCTTCCTTCCCCATGGCAATGCTCTTGGTCACTCAGCACCTCCTCTGGCTGGAAGATGGATCTAACTGGGTAGTCAGCTTTACCAGAGAGTTACATCACTCTCTTGTGAGCTTATAGGCAGTCTTCAGAAACTGAAATTCCATTTGCTACCATTTGTTACTGCTGTTCTTATTTAAAAGATCTTGTAAAAGCCAGGCAGTGGTGGCACATCCTTTAATCCCAGTACTTGGAAGGCAGAGGCAGGTGGATCTCTGAGTTAGAGGCCAGCCTGATCTTACAGAGTAGGTTCCAGGAAGCTAGGGCTAGACAGACAAACCCTGGGCGGTATGTGTGGTAATCTTGTATGATTTAGGTTGTTTGGAATCACTTAAAGTAGTAACATTTAAGGTTACTGGAAAGAAAATCAGATATCCCACCATTTTGTCACCATCGCTATTTTACCTTGACATCTATCTGCTGGTTCTCTTTCTTTCCTATTGCATGGGAAAGAAGCACACTGTACTGGATGCAATTGAGTGCTCTGGAGCCAGACTGAGGGTGGAGGCTTGGCCTTAACCATGTGATCTCTGTCAAGTCACTTGACCTCCAGGAGGCACAGCTTTACCATTTCTAGAATAGAAATAATAGCACCTCTTCCAAAGATTTTTGTTAGGAAAAATCTTGGAATTGGGTGATGAAATCTTTGTAATTGCTGACCCAATACACCCCCAAACCTGCAGGTTCCCTCTCACAGTGTTTTTACAGAATCATCTGTTAAAGGAGCAGACCAGCCCATGCTGCAATTATGATTTTTCCAGAACTAGAATTGGGAAGGAGAGCTGGAAGATCTGAGACTAAGCTAGACAGCAGCAAGGCTCTCCAGTAAAGGAAGGAGGCTAGCCTCCTGGGAGAGACAGACACAGGCACTATTCCAGGTCTGAGCCTGGTCTTCCTCTATGTTCTGTTTAAGACAGTTTCAATCAGGACTTTGTCTTTATAACCTGTAGTCCCGACTGGGTATATGAGTGTCATGCTCATAGGAGGGGCTTAGTGAATGCCAACCAGTGCATTGTCCCCTGACTATTCTGATGGAATACAAAGGTCATTGGTGATTTTTCTGGACAGAGCTTTGCAAATAAGCTGGCAAAGCCTAGTACCTTAGGGCGACCTGAAAGGACAATGAGAATGACATCTTCCAAGCATGATAAAAGCCCAGCTTCCTTCAGAAAGAAGTTGACCTGCTTATTTACTTACTTATTATCTTTAATAAAAACTGAATGCCTGCTGGGTATGGTGATCATCTTAGCACTCAAGAGGCTGGGGTAGGAGGAACTCAAGCTTGACACTAGCCTGGGCTACACAGCAAAACCCTATCTGAAAATCAAAT